TTCAAAAAAAACGCATGATACTTACATTCATAACAATAAGCATGGGTATATCAAATACATCTCTCTTTACCGTCCAGCAGTAACTGCACTCCACCTTTCCATCACGGAATCCTAGCTGATTCATCCCCGCTTCGCCGGCAATGCCCCTCTTCCCCCACGTTTGCCTAGGTGATTGCTGCGGGCCCTGCAACCCGATGACGCTGACGATGAAGCGGCGGTGGATGGATCGTTGGGATTAGTATTGTTCCCATTGGTGTTGGCATTGGCGCCGTTGCTTGTCGACGTGCCTGTTGCTGTCGTTGTCGCGACATCACCACTAGTAGTAGTACCGGTACCACTGCTCCCATCCACTCCACCCTGCTGGGTCTCCTCCTTCCCATGAAACAGTGCCGCACTATCCTCCTTCGTCTTATACTTCAGCAACTTGCACGTCGTCATCACGCTCCCGCGCGAATCGCCAAAGGCAAGTTTCGCGAAATCCTCGTAGAACTCAATCACGCTGTCGTCGTCGAGTAACTCAGCGAGGAAGACAGGTTGCGTACGTCCACTTGCACCACCCCCGCCTACGGTGGGCATGCCTGTGTGAGGATCTATGCTATTATGGGTGTTATTGTTTCGAGGGGTAAATGTGCTGCTACCTCTTACCGATGACGCTGATGATAACGAGGAGCCCGTGTTGACATTTAGGTTCGGTTCCTTGCCCAGCAAGACCTCCTTCTTCCAGCCGGTAAGGATGCTGAACTCCTTACCCACGGCGGCGATTTCACCCGTCCGGCGACAGACAATGGTCGGCGTACCGCAGGCGTTGATGAAGTCTTCGTATTCCCACAGCGTTCGTTGGAAGCATTTCTCCATGAATATGAGGTCGTCTTGGTTGAGGGTTTTGGTTGTGGCGATGAAGGAGGGTCGGATCGAGGCGAGCGCTTTGGCGATCTGAAGGGTCTTTTGGGGGGAGAAGCGCCGTTGAATAAATGCCGTGAGACTGTGGAAGCCGCTTGTATATGAATATGGCTCCTTGACGCTCTCGTATATTGATGAAGGGCTACGGTATCGCCTCTTCACGCCTACGTGTAAGCCTTGATGTTTGAGGCCCGGAGTTGATATGCGGGATTGTTGCGGAGTGTTTGTTGGATGCATGAGGTTTGTTCGGGAGGAGAAGTTGGCGTTGGCTTCGTCAAATGGTGTTGTGGTCGTCATCTGGGGGCTTTCTGTCGAGCTCGGGCTGGCAAAATTCATCGGAGCGCTCTCGATAGCGAAAGCGTGAGGGTTCTGCTCACCCATCTGGCCAGCGACCGCGTTCTGATTGTAGATATTACGCGGATTTGCCTGGCCTTGGCCCGTTGGGTTCCAGTCATTGAGTACTGGATCACCAAACAGGAAGGGCGATTGGTTGTTGGCGCTATCTCCAAAGTTTTGAGCAGTAAATGTACCAGAACTCCGCCCAATGGACCCACGCTGTGTGGCTGAATCACTGGGTGGAGTGTCTCCTGCTCCTGTAGCCATGTGCCCTAGCATCCCGAATTCCAAAGCGCCATATCGATTGCCGAAATTCATGCTGGCTATATCGAAATTGAACAGCGCTGGATGACTGGGGTCAAAAAATGCGGCACCAAAGGGATCTTGATTCTGGCCAGACACAGACGACGCGGTTTGAGACATGGCTGAGGAGAGATTCTGAGTTTGCGGATTCGAGGACAGGTCGAAATTCTGTGTCGATGAGGGCGATTGAGCATGGAAAACACTGGGATTCATCGAAGCGTCCTGCATCACTGCAGGGCGTACATGACTTTGTTGAGACTTGGCTTGGACGTAGACATTGTAGCTCCTGGCGGCCTGGGGTGTGTAGAAATTGGCGGAGGAGACGCTTTGGCGTGAGACTTTGTTCGAGTTTGAATTGGAGGCATTTCCCCGTTGGTTGGGGATATTTCTCGTTGTATTCGCCTGATTGTAATAATTTCCTCGGATGCCGGGCAGGAGAGCTTCGTTCGGCGCATCGTGTAGATACTTGGCTTTTTTCCGTACCCCGTCATGGCAAGCATCTTGGAGCCCGCGCTTGATACATCGTTGGCAAGGTCTCTCATCGCCTGTAAATCAATTGGGGTTGTTAGTTTCCACAATTCTCTAGGAATAGGTGAACAATGTTAGAGTGGCTAATTAAAAATTGGTTGCGCGTATGTGCACAGTTGGGTGTAGACGGTGGTTTCAACCAAGTTTACTAGGATTTACCTCATGGTGCGATAGGCAGCGGAGCGGGATGGGATGGATAAAACATTAAGATGTGGACAAAGCGCACGGTAGTATACAGAGGTAGGAGTGAGGAGAGGGTAAAAGGGAAAGCGATGTTAAACGGGAAAAAGGGGGAAACAAATCAAAGGTGAGATAAACAGATCAGCATACCGCAGGTCAGATGGGCCCTCTGACAAGCAAAACAAGCTCTTTTAGCCTTCTTCCTCCTTGGGCGGAGAGGGTCCTTAGCATTGGCGGATGTCGAGGCGGGTTTTTGGCTACTTTGAGCGGTGCCACTTCCTTTCCCGTTTGTTTGGGATTTCGTCTCTGGCGGGTTGGCGGGGGTCGTAGTCATACTTTTGGATTCTTGTTCCGCAGCTGTAGGAGCAGCCGGTGACGGGGACGGCGATCCATTTCTGGTGCTGGCCGTCATAATATATAGATCTAGAGATATATATATTTATAAACGGTATTTACCTGCTAGGAAATGGCAGGTCGGTGGAAGGGGGGTTGGCTGTGCGGGCTAGTCTCTCCTTCGCCTGTGCTTCCTGTCGATCGATGCGATGCCCACGTTTGTCTGGGTGGGCTTCTTCTTGATTTCTGCAAGTAGCCGGTGCGTATCTTGCGCCTGAATCTAAATACAGCCCTTCGTTTTGCTTTTTTTTAATTTCTTTTTTCCTTTTTTCACTTCCTTTTTCCTATTTTGTTCTTAGTTTTTTGCCTTTTTTAACATGTTTTTGCCTATTTCTCTTTCTCAATTTGTCAATGAGAATTAGATTGAAATAAAAATTCCCACTGCGACACACGGAACCACAACACTGGAACGAGATTCCAAGAGGCTATGTAAGATATTTTGACGGGCTGATATAAGACCAACACGCGCGAGCAGTTCGAGTGTGGTAGCACGGCAGCTGCGAGGTATGCTTCAGCAAGTGAGGGCGCGGCCGAAGTAGAATCACGCGACCGCAGCCAGGGGCGTTAAGAGGTCTGACTGGCGGATTGCTGCGGTGCGACAGCGTCGAGCAGCCCGAGTTCAGCACAGTAACTTTGGAACGGAGGGCGAGAGATGGCAGCCGACGAGAGGGGAAGAGGTCAAGCTGGCAGAGCAGGGACCAATCGAGAGGCGCGGTATAAGCTCGAAACCGAGGGACAAGGCTGCACGACAAGAGAAAGGCCGCCGCCGATTAAGCGAATGCGAGCGTGGAAAGCGTGGTTGATGGCTGAATAAAAAAGAAGCAAAAAATATGACGAGGCCGCATTACAGAAAGGGAACCATGGAACAACGCCGCAGTGTGCAACCTGAGGAGCACAAACGTGAGCTCGAGACAATAATGCAGTGGAGTGTGCGCACTGTGGGAGGTGGAGGTACTGCTAGGACAATGGGCGATTGTTTGCGATTGCGATCCCGACGTCGATATCGATGTCAGTTGTCAATGACAATGAGAGGTAAAATGATAATGATGATGATGATGATGATGATGATGATGATGATGATGATGATGATGATAGCTAGTGACGGATAAGCCGTCGTGGTAATGGGAATGTGAATTGAGATTCGCACAGGACGTGGCGGAGGGCGGGGGAGCACGGATGGGCTGGCAGCGCATTGATAGACATAGGGCAGCGTCAATGAAGATGCGGACGGACGGTACGGCGAATGAAGAGGAGGAGGAGAGGGATAGAGGGGTAGATTTGCTCAGAAAAAGAGACCGGGTAGAAGGTGTAGAACGAGAGCAGGGCGAGGGCGGGGAAGTTGAGGGAGGGTATGCGGGGATGGAAGAGAGGCTGAAGATGGGACGGATACGGGGGGAGGGAGACAGCAGAAGCAACGGCAAGAGGGGAGAGTGTCAGAAGATGCAGCTGCGAGAACGAGAATGCGGTGAGGATAGGAGCTGTGGCGCGAGGGAGCCGGGAGTTTGGTTTGAGGTCGTGGTTGTCGATGGTTCGGATGGAGGAGGAAAAAGAAGAGAAGAAAAAAAGGTAGCGAGTGAGCCGATAGGGAACAAACAGCAAACAGCAAGGGAAGTCACAACAATTCAACATCAACATCAACATCAACAGCAAGATTAAATAATAATATTATTATTTACGGCAATGCAACTGCTCAGGGTTATATCCGGATATTCACGCGGGCGGATATACGAGCAAGAATCAATTACTCTTATTTATTTATCCAGGAGGAGAGAAGCAGACAGACATCTATGTACCACTTCTGACTCTTACTATCTACTGCGTAGTTATCTATTGACTTTAAATTTATACTCGGTGTTGTGAATTTTCATGTGGGCTCGTCGTGTCGTCAGACCAACCTTGGGAGAAAAAAAAAAAAAAAAAAAAAAAAACAGCAATAATAATAATAAATAATATAATAATAATATCTATAGAGTAACTACGTCTGTGCATATGATTGAAGGAGCGATTTCTAGCAAAATAGTAAATATTTAACCTAATGCGCATGAATATTATTACACACACAGCCGCCGCGCCCGCCCGGAGATGTAACTATTATTTAAATAAATGATTGCAGCTTCACAGCGGGATAGCAATTCAAAACACACAAGTATCTCCCCAAAAATTAAGGCACACAATCCCTTTCTGTAGCATCCAACATGGATGGTTATTCTGTCTCTCGCATCCGAAGCAGAACAAGCCCCAGCTGAATTCCCGAGGCCCGTCCAGAAATATAGTGCGTCAAAGTAACTAATAATAATAATAAATAACTTACTCTTCCACTGGCTGGACCACCTCGGGGCCCTCAGCCAATACAGGGCCAATAAAAATAAAAACTAGGTCACAATTAGGAGAAAACTGGGGAAAAAAATAAGCAGTACAAAGGTGTACATTCACATTCCAACAATGTTATGGCTCGATCGCTTATAACTTTCAAAAATAATGATAATGATAATGATAATGGTGGTAATGGAATGGTAATGAATTACAATAATGTCTAGTTATGAACTTCATGACAATAATAATAGTTAACTACGGAGTAGTTAACTAACGATTTAATTATTATTAATCTTTGGCCACTTGCCCAAGGTCCATATATTTGTCTCCATTTCGGCCTGGCCTTACATGCGGGGAAAGCTGTGATTAATAACTCGGACGATGCTCTCAAAAGTAATGTCCTGCGTAAGAATTTAAGCTGTAACTAATTCTGTTCCCGGCATAAAGTATTTCCATTCCATATCTTAACAAGAGTTAGCAGCTGGGTTCTAGGGGAGTTAGCGTCTGTGACAGCATAATACTAAAAAAGCTCAACTAAAGATAGCCTAAATCTCCAGATGTCTGAGCTTCAGAATGGTAACAGTATTACAGCTTAAATTCTTAGTCTGAGACATTACTTTTGAGAGCGCTATTAATAGATTATTATTAACATCAGGTTGAAGCGTTGAGATCAAGAATCTATGGTGAGTAAGGAAATGTTAGCAGTTCTGAAGCAGGAACGGCCGCCCCTGCTCCTTTCTGTTTTATTTATCCCTCCCCTTTAAACCTATTGTTCAACATAGTACCCTATCCTAAGCTGCTGGTACGGTGGTTACTCCGCCACTTTCAGGATCAATCCTTTTGGTGCGATAGTTTACTAATATCCTTTTTCACTCCTGCTGAAGCTTTGGATGCAGACCATTTTATCATCCATTTCTTGAACGAGGCACAGGTACTTACCACTGGCGAGATAGGAATAGCCAGTGAGTCGTTGATCTGTAACATTTGGGAGGGAATTTAATCAAGTTTATTTTTAGCTATGTAGCTTATTATTTTATTTTTTGTCCCAGATGCGCGGCCGTTCAGTGACGGACCACCGCGCCAACCAAAGTTGAGGGAAGTAAGTTTGTTGCTGGTGCTAGGTTTTATAACATATGTGCTTCCGTACCAATCATCATTATGAACCACTGGCCTAATTCAGCTTTTCCAGTTGGATTTCTAGCGTTGTCAAAGACCTTATATCACATCCCACCCCGCTACATCGGAGGTGGAGGTGGAGGTGTTCTCCTCTCAGCGGGGCCTGTGCCCGATAAACCAAATCGTCTAGATAAGGTTAAATTAAGCATAAGTTGACAACCACACTCCGTGCGTCAGATGCACACTTCCTTAATCTCCCCCCCCCCCTTTTCCCGACTCGTCATCCACCCATCATACATACCACGCAAAAAAGAAAAAAGGAAAAAGGGAAAAAAAAGGAAGGGAGAAAGAAAAAGGCCAAGACATGGGACCCATCATTGATCAATCAAACGAACAGAGGGACTTCGTCACCCTAGCTGGGAGAGTGAACATGCTTCCCGATCCCAAGAGCAATCAGTGATGTGGCATCCGGTGCGCATTCATCGAAGAAGGTAACGCCGAGAGCAATACGCTCCGGGTATGTCACTAGCTAATGAATTTCCTTTTGGCACTTTCCAGGGTGACGTTACACCAGAGCGAAAGGAACGTCGTGAGGCGGGTGTGCAGTGCGGCAAATAGTTAGAAGCTATTTCCAAATGTTCATTAACTACCCTGGAGGAGTGGCAGGCTGAGATGAGCCCTGTCCTGTGAGTGTTAACTAGGCTCTGGAGAAGAGAAACCAAGAGATTATTTGTGGTAGATACCGATGCACCAATGCCAGTATATCCATAGGCTTTCAGCTCAGTTTCTAAGAATTTGGAATTCAACTACTCCGTACAGAGTACTCTGCACATACAACCGTAAATGCAAGCAGCGGCTGAAATATGGCACCAGCTTGCCAAGCATTGTAAACATCCCAGCTAAATATGCTCTTTCTTGGCACCAAGACAGCAGAAATGAGAATCACAATCACCAAGTTTCAAATCTCATATCGACCTACAACCATGACAAAACTCCCTTCCAACCAAAACTACGACTAGGCCGTCTACAATGATGTAGCTTTAACTTAGTTAACCTCCCTGAGCACAGAGGTATCGTACCTACATACTCCTTACATCGAGTGCGCGTGGGATCCGCACGTCATTGACCCTGGCAACGGGCGTGCCAACCGCTCGCCAAATCTGCACATGTATGCACAGTGCCCATAGCTGAAGCAAGACTCTGCGGCCTGGTTCTCCGTGCTTGTAACACCCTCCCATCTCCTCAAGCACAAGCTCAGCTAGTCAAATCTCGAAGTAGATGAAGGGTTCCCGACGACGGTCAGCTTCCCAATCTCTGTTCTGGACATCCCCTTCGGTTTCAGTCACAGGGCACCCGCTTTCTCAATCGCCGATCGCAAAATGCTGAAACAGAACTAAATTTTCGGAATCTCTCCTTTCCTGCATGAATGATTCATTCATACTTTGTTTTCTGAGATTTATGCGACTATCTGCGTGGTGCATTACTCCGAGTTATCCTTCCCTACTCTTTCCTCAGCCATTACGATTTGCTTCTTTGTTTGGTTACAAAGGTTTTTCAGGGGTTTTCAGGTTCCGTTTCTGCCAAAAATCCAGCCAACCTGTCTAATTTCTTCTTTCCAGGCATCTCAGTGCAGAGTATGGATGTGTATCTTATCGACGTACATGTACTGTACATACTCCGCACAGTTTCATATCAAAGTTCCTCGGTTACAAAAATATATGTTCTTATCAGCAACATCATTAGCATTGTCATCACTTATCCCATAAAATGGCCGATTTGACAATTTTTGACTCAAATGCAAAAGATGTTATGGCTAATGGTGATGTCTACATTGTCATATCTCCCGGCTTACAATGGCAAGCCCTAAAAGGATGCGTCTTGGCACAAAGCCATTGGTCAATGGGGTGAGGCGCCCTCTGATGAGAAACCCACCATCGCGGATTCCTAAGAGAGACATGAATGAATAATGAATGACCGATGAATGTCCAACTTTGATTGACTGGACTTGCTTGACCGCCTTTTGATCTTACCCATTCAAAATGTCCATACCGCGCTCCTTGGCCTGATATTTTTGCTACATACTACCTACCCTTCGAGAAAGCGGGCCCCCTGGCATAGCTATTGCCTTGACCTTGCCTTCCTATCCGCACAGAGAAAAAGCAGGGTGGCTTACAGACCTGCAAATCAGAAAATACAACCTCTGTCGTCATCATTTTCTCCGGTGATCACAACCTCCTCCCTTTCCCCTCCATCCGGACCACTTCTTTGTTCCATTATTTGTTTTAGGAGTACGGAATACGTCGCCGATCAATTGCCAGAAATATTCGCCTAGAAACAGGCACAACACTAACATGCATAATATATGCCGCAGCCACCCAAGCACGCAATGTCGAGTGGCTTGAGACTGGATTGTTCGTTTCGGCAAGTTGAGCACGGGCTGCTGCTTCCTTCTGTAGGTAGCCTCAGAGGCGCCACAACTTTTTATTTATTCATCATGGCATCAGGTCATGGGGAACACGTCTGATGACCATGAGGATCCACGAATGCCAGCATCGTCCGTTCGCCTCGTGGCTTGGATAGGTGACTGGATTGTCCCATTGATATCACTTTTTCCCCGCTTCTGAGTCGGTTTTATTTTGTTGCTGGGATCAATTTGTTCACTTGTCAGACAGCCACGGAGTACGTTGCCAAGGAATGCGTAAATGGACATGGAAAAAGGGGCGCGCTCTCCACATGGCGCTCAGCCATAGTTATGCAGCTCTAGAGTTGCTCGTTATAACTTATATACCCGCCTGTCTCAATCCCCATCACGTTTACAACCTAGCACCAAGGTGCCAGCGAGACAATAAATATGGTACATGCAGTACATGTAGACCTACATGAACCTTAGCCATACATGCCTACGTCGGGCTTTAGGCGGGTGTTTGCCTAGTGGCTTGCTGCTCATGTGCTATCAACCTCAGAATTGTTATCGAACGGTGGCTGATTTTGCTATCTTCGATTCGAGCTTTATTTTCCCATTAGGGATATTCTGCCATGCCCCGTACGCATGAACTGAATTAACAATGCTAATACAGTTCAACATCCTGCTACGTTCGTACGTGCATAATCCACCTTCCATGCACACTTTCCTGAACCTAACAGCTTTCCTCTCTATTCGGCAGTCATCACCCGCTCAATCCAGTGAGCGAGCTTACGGTTTGCGATGTTGAGGACAGATCCTGATCCATCGATACGGGAGTTGATCCGGCGATGTGGTGCTTCAAATATATCCATTTCCTTTATATGTTTTTCCCACAACTTAGTGGAAGATCTTTCCAGCCATCCTCGACGGCAGGAGGGCCGAGCGCAAAGGGAAAAGTAAGTCGGAGGTCGGGTGGCAGGATAGATGTTCTTGAGGAGCTTAGTTGAGGAAATGCTTTTGAAGCACTATTTAGTATGAGCACATCGGGAAGTGAGGAAAGTGGGACCATCTGCTGTGCTTTAAGGCGAGGCAGTCTGGGCAAGCAAAGTGAAGATACTGGACCACGAGGGAGGAGACTTGAAGCGGAGAGGATAAGTTGATCGGGGCATTCCAGCCATTGGGGATGGTTGGTCAGAGTGTCTGGGCTAAACTCTGAAGCTTTGACGCAACATTTCTCTGCCTCAAACGGGCTTTGTGTTGTCAAATTAACTTACCAGGGCATGCAGAGTAACCGTCGAGTGCGAGGCATGGTAACATCGCATACCCCCATATGTGCACCAGTAGAGCACCACGAAGTATGCGCGGCGTACCACCCGCGCCATACATGCTACATACCCATGCACACCGCCTCTACATCGAAAAAACAAGAAAGAAAGAAAGAAAAAAAAAAAAAAAAAAAAACTTCTCTATGCGATCTAGCAGATGCTGAGGACCAAGAGCCGAGAATCGAAAAGGGGTAACATTCCAATTTACGTTTTGGTGGCCGAGATATCTCTCTTCCCTTCCGCTTTTTTCGCTTCTACGGCTGTGTATATCACACTCACGTCTTCATTACATGTCTTCGGCGTACAAACTCTGAAACAATGCTGTGTCAACCATTTCACAGACATCTGCGACGGCCCATGGAACGGTTCTCCTGCTTCCGCACATATGTAGGAGCAGGAGCCATGTTAAATACCTGCCACCATGCCCGAACCACTCTACAATCTTTATACAGTTATTAAGCAACCGCCGCTATGTAGTTTCTAGGTCATTGCAAATATACCTACCATCCCTACATCTAGGTATCGTTATCTACACGGCATACATGTTCAGACCTCGCGTATGGGTCTAATTCTCCTATGTTCTCTAGTTTCCACCCTCCGCTTTGGTCTTGAATGAGAAAGGTCTATCATTCTTTTGATCGGTCTTTTTCTAATTCTTTACTCTGTTTCAGTTCGTGGGCAGTTCTCAGTATTCATTTGCTGCTTATTACTTGCAATCATTGAAGAATCGAGCCTAGTTTTGACAGATATATTTGACCCCTGTTCATACAGCCAGGGGTGGTATCGTCTCCTCTGGAGCGTCTACATTGTATGGATATATAATGTATATCTAATCGCTCTACCCCATACTTCCTCGCCTATTCTTTATGTATCGGAAAGGCTTCGAATCACAATAATGGCAATGATTATATTCCAGTGGATTAACCTCCCTTCCTATTTTACTGTCCCATTTCTTTCACCGTTTATAGCTACTTGAACTTCCCATAATTATTCTCAACCAAGCAGTACCAAGACCTTGTGGGATATGGTCATGCCACCCTTTCGTTTCATTGTTCACTATTTTCTTACTCTGGATACGAGATATACGAATCGTCTATTATCAAGTTGCAGACATAGCCGTCAGGATAAACAGTGCGTAATGCATACTTGTCGTGCGATGCGCGTGTAACATGCATTCAGACCTCCCACACTCTTCACCTGTATGGCAGTAGAACCAAGTTGAAACTGCATCATGTCGCAATTCTATTTTTATTCGTGTTTTTACTCCTGTTTCCTGTAGTTGGACATAAAACGTTATCTTGTCCTGCCTTGCTCTATCTGTCACTCTCGTACACACCCACTCTACATCCGAGACACAGAACACAGCCATGATAAATCCACGAGAGAGAGGAGAAAGAAAAGCTGTTGCTTTTCCTGTCGCATGTGTCCGGCATGTGCATGGTCTTGGACAGATGGATAACAGCTACAGGTGTATGAGAGATGGCGGCAATCCAAAAAGAGTCAAGAGTTGTACGAAAATGATAGCATCGTATATGTGTGCGAGTATTCCCTGCTTCCAGCACGTGTATGCGCGTAAACGTAGTGAAATGTGTGTCACGCTGGAATAAATGCTAGGCGGATAGCCCTGTATAGACGGACGATAACAGACATCCGGCCTGAAGGAGAGCGTGAATAGCATAAGAGAAAGGTTGGTATGGCTAAATTTTCAAATGTAAGTTCCCAAACACTGTGACAAGTAGTATAAGACGCCCAATGTGGACAAAATTGAAAAAAATTTCTAGTATTGAAATCAAACTAGAGGGTATTTCAGGGGCTTTCTGCATTGAGCAGCTTTTAACACCCAGGAAGGAAGACACGGCAATTAGACATGCCTCGCTATCTCGCTATCTCGCTTCCTGAAGAGGGTACCTGATATCTCCTTGCGTTTTAAAATGGAAAGAAAACAACATTCAATAAGAAATGTTGGGAAGGCAGTAAGCAGAAAATCTATTGAGGAATTTTGCTTTAAAGTGCGAAGAATTGTCTTAGAATACATCACTTTTTGTAATTGTTGGGTATCCTGAATGAAGCGGGATCCATATTTCATTTTGAAATGAATTTTCTTGTCCATGTTAACAGATACGTATCGCGTCGGAGTTCCTGCTCCCACGCTTTAGTTACCGAGAACTCGGAATCGGGCCGATAAAATCCCCGAGTCAGCCGGCAGCTCACAGTCTTGCCCCTAAATTAGTCCTTTGGCCCAAGCGTTCTCCCCAGTCCACCCACTCACCAGAAGAAAGTGATGCGAGGCCGATTTCACCACTACCTTCACAGAAACAGTAGGGTTATTCTTCTAGTCAGACTTAAGAATGGATTGAATCGTCGATACGCGTCATACAAACTAGCTACCTCAGCGTGGAAGCTCTGAAAGAGTCATGCAAATTGAACGACTAGCCCGCCGCTCATGGCGACCCTCGAGTGATTTAGAAAATCTAGAGTTTGCTAAACATGGAGAATCAAATATGAACTTCTTTGCTACATGCTGCCTGAGAAAAAGACATTGGATGCTTATATTCTTGTATGAATTTTTCCCAGGTCACGATGTTCAAGAGGTGAAGCTGGCAGTGAATCTAAGTCGTTTGTGATTGACAAATTGCTAGGAGGAGTGAATTTGATTAGCTATATCGTGTATGAGTCTATACTGCTGGAACGAATGCTAACTTACGCCGTAAGGTAAGCATGACGATAATGTGCATCTGACCCAACGATATATTGCGTAGTCCGAACAGGATCGAATAGTTGCCGCTATTAATTACAAAATTACGGGGCCCCATATCGTTTTCGATAAGGTTTATATGGGAACCCGCTTCCCCGATAACGAATGCAATGCAACCCTGGTGAAAGGCCCCCAATCCTGCATAACCGGCTCAGAAATGCGATTGAAGAATGGACATGTTGGTTTTAACTATCGAACCTACTGCCGTTCGAGCGACGCCTCTATCTTTGTGTGGTGGAATCTGAAGATCTACAGGGATACCTTCAGCTCGCTGGACGGAAACGAAGAATATGCGATTCGATCGCTTTGTCCATTGCTAATCTCTGGGTCTCGGTTAGCAGGACTATCTCTCTCATGGAACTTTACTCCGTATATTATGCACTACCGCTTTGCTCGAGCAAACAGGGGTTGTGTCATATCAGGCTAGGTCCAAGCCGACAAAGATGAGTTCGAGACCCTTCTTAGGATATGCAATAAGCATCCTAGGGAGAGTTCCGCATCTCAGCTATTTGGTTTTGTCTGTCAACGTGGATCCTAGATGGCTGGTCATTTGCTTCTTTGGGGTAAAATTTAGCGATTTTTGTTTGGAACGTTGTCCGTTTGGAGTCAGATAATATGGCTTGAGGTTGCCTAGTTACCCTCTTCAACCTAGAAAGCAGAAGAAGTCCACTGCTCTTCCCTCGGTGGCACGCTAAAAATGCTTGGACCACCAAAAGAATCACCGCTCTCATGCTAGTACCGCTGGATGACGCGCGGAATAGACTCCAAAGAAGATCCCCCATGAACATATATTTAGATATGTTTGACTAGCTTTCTGAAATTCGGCTGCGCCAACATCTCCATTGGCTGGGTGGAACACTCTGCTCACGATTGCTACCTTTTGTGCATTTTCCACTCTATGGCAACTTCATACAATCACCACTAGTCCCACAGCGGCATAGGATAGGATTTATTCGTGCCGCATGCAGATGAGCCAAACAGCCAACGAAAAAAAGTCATGATAACGAGCTTATGATACCCTCCTCCTTGCACGGGCCACCCCTCCTTCCTTGCCTGGGTAGAAACGCTTACCACTGGTAAAACTACGGCTCTATGGGTCAGGGCTTACCCATCCATAATGCATTGATTGTCCATGGCCAGCTCCCGTTCTATCATCGGGCTCCTTATGCCATCCATACCGCAACTGTTATGTTTCCGAAATTATCCACGTTCTTTGAGGTATATTGGCATGGGAGCAGACAGCTGATTGTTTATTCATCCCATTTTATTTCTCAAATTACTTTTCTGTCTTTTATGCTCAAGATGGGGACCAAATTGGTAGATTCCAACCAGGGCGTCTATAACATCAATCGGCTTCCCATCGGCAGTCTACGACGAACTTAACATCATAAGGATACTCTCAGCGAGAGAATGACGCGATTCGCACTAGCATCACCCCACAGAATGTCCAATATTTCCAATTAATTGGAACATTCCGTGTGAATTACGGATCGTCGTATTCTTAGCCTCGATAGCACATCCCGTACAACTCTTTGTGGAATTTAGGGTCTGTACCGTTTTTCTTTGATAAGTGAAGGATGGGCTGGGATTGGCTTATACACCGTGATCCATGAAAATAAGAAATACGCTGTAAGGCAAAGCAAGTTTATATTCTAATGGAGTGAGGTATTGCCTATACCTTGAAAATCAGTCGCCAATTCATTTGATTAGGCTATGCAGAAGGGAATCCATGGATCCAACTTCTCTATTTCGAGGTATCACAGCAGGTGTTCTTATTTTTTTGGGAGATCCGCAGCATTAAAATTTAATTAGCTGGGGCATCCAAGGCTATCCCTTATTGCAACTCCCAATGTGGGCGGATGGGAGAGAGAGGGACCCGTACTATATGCTTCTGAGCATTCAAATTATTCCTGAAATGTTCTAGCGCATGGCTTTAAAAGTTCTCCAGAGTGGAGGAATCGAGTCTAGGCTGAACAGTCTGCCTGACCCAAATCATCCGAATGGATTTTTGAAAGGGATTTAATTTCTTTCAGCTTATCGCTAACGCAATTCGCAGAACTACGTTCTACAAGGAAGGGGTTTCAAATAGGGGATGACATGCCATTAGTTAAGTTCTTGCGTTCACATACATTCCTAGGCTCCTTGATTTTCCAATTGGCTATCTACTGACGTACTAAACGAAGATAGAGTATATTTATCCAGTCAGTCACTGCCATGCCTCCTCCACCTTGTTGTGTGGTTCGGAAACCGCAAAACCCTAGATTTGATGAGATTCACGGCCTAAGCTTGAGCTTATCAGCGGCGGATGGGGCACTTGTCGCACACTCAGCACGGTTTCATAGCCTTCATTTCTTATCGGTCTAATACACCACTTAACGGGCGAGATTCGTAGGAATCTAAACAATTTCTATAATTGCAGAGATGCCATGTTGTTGTTCCTAGTCCTTCTCTTCTCTAGCTCAATGTTTAATTCTAACCCTCCCATCCTAACAGAACATATCTGTAGACACTCTCTCAATCGTTTTGCTAGAATATCAGATTCTGATCATCACCCCACCTGAAAGGGCCTAAAACACTGATGACGAAAGTATATCATCAAATATGAAAGAATAACAGCAGGCAGCCCGATGCCGATTAACTTTTTCTCCAACTACTCTGTCCTGGTTTGTATGCAAGTGCGGGGACTACTCGCGGTGGGTAGACATCGAAGCCTTGTCATCTGCAGAATTCCTGCAGAAAATCTCGTATCCTGGTCTGCAGAACGTTAAACCTGGGTTTATCACATATACTCAAAACTATCACCAAACTGAGGTTTGCTTCAACAAATGACCACTTCCCAGCGATCGGAGAAAGACATGGATTGGAAGTGGCGAGTCGAACTTGCGATAAGAAACATCACCCTGCAGCACTAGCAACTCGATGTTGGTGAAACAGAAAGAATGAAGCCTTTACGACATAGCTACCCCTCACACAAACTCAACAAGTAAGATGGCTAAGCTCAGCCCCTCAATCCTTTAAAATGATATATTCTCTCGAAAATAGAATCGGAGGTGCTGAGGATACTGATTCATAGTTTGATCCGAATATCCTTTCGATGTGATTCGTTGGAATAGAGAGAGATGCACGAGCCCATGTCGCACATGACGTCTAAAATTTGAGGATACGCGCAACCTGGGGATACGCACAGCCATCTTTGATCTGCCTTGATTTCTGGAGACATGGCGGGCTGAGAATACCCTGTCTACGCCACCTTTGGGGGAAATAGAAAAAATCACAATGTCAATTTACGAGATTTCAGATTTTTGGATAGTCAAAATGCCCTGCGAGAAGGTAGCAGCATTCTTTGGTGACGCATTTGCACCCTGGGAATACAAACCATGCAACCGAAAGGTAAGTAGCAACCTCAGCATTCCTAGAGTTATTAACTAACTGTCCTTGTTGCAACTACAGGGTGTGGTGCATTATTAATTTGACTCGGAGATTGGAAATCCACATTGATTGACACAAACGAGAAATGGGAGGCATGCCTCTGCCTTGACTTAATCGTTGAGAAAATGATCTTTTAACGCTGGGTGAAATTACCGCAATACTAGTGAGAGGTTTTTGCACATTTACATCACGCTGCATCCACGGATCCCTTCATCAGGAGATTGGGCGCTCAGGCGAATGTGAGAGCGTTACGGGAACAGGTGTTGATCAGATCAGCTCTTTCGAGCCTCTTCACAGCTGTTTACTCCTCTGGTCTGGCCATGCCATAGGCTCCCGTCTACCAATTATTTTGAAATCTTGGAAAACGAGTTTGCTGCACACCTGTCAGCTCTGCGAGTCCGTGCAACTTCCAAATTTAAGTCTGATCCGCATGGTTCAACTGTATACATCGAATTGCAAACTGGCCTACAGGCCATAGTATCGAGGCTGAAGCGGATCTCCCACTGGCTGGTCACAGAATTTGGGGGGTATGGCCGATCTCCGACTTTCGCTCGAGCGAGAGAGCTTCCTGCTTCACCTGTGCGCTATAAAAAGCTGGATAAAACTGCAACCTTCTCAAATTAACAACTCATCCGGCAGGAAGCCTTTTCGTTTTGGGGTCTCATATCAATTTCTTACACCTAGTTCTATTTCTTAGCCTTGCATCTACCTGCTTGAATTCGTCGACATACAATGGCACCTATTCTGGTTACGGGTGTCCACTCCGGAAAAGGTCCCCGTGGTGAAATCCCTCTTCGTCTGGAGATCCACGACTTGCAGAAGGACATCCACAAATGGAGTCTTTACGTCCTAGCATTGAGGATCTTTTATGATAGACCGGCAGACCATCCTAAATCATACTTCCAGATTTCAGGTAGAACTTCATGTCCCACAAGGTCCAAAGAGTTTCCCAGCTGACTTGCGTTTGCAGGGATTCACGGGATGCCATATCTGCCATGGAACGGCGAGGAGGTGCCAAAAAATGGACCTAAACCAACAGGCTATTGCACCCATAGTACTGTTCTCTTCCCAAGTTGGCATCGTCCTTATGTTGCTCTTTACGAGGTACTTCTTCTTTCAAGCCAATTTATTTCCCATGCCGATATATAGGCTAATATTCCCCAGCAACTCATCCAAGAAATCATTGCAACAGAGATCCTTCCCAAAATCCCGGAGAATCATGAGGATTACCAGAAGTACAAGAAGGCGACTGAAACGTTTAGGATCCCATATTGGGATTGGGCTGCTCCCCCGCCAGAGTCAAAACAGGAGATTATAGCCAAATGGCTCCCCCCAACCTCCCAAGAAAATAAGGTTCCAAACCTTGTCCCTGGCTTTCCGCAAGTGATAGACAATCCTCTCTACCAATATGTCCTAAAGCCGCAGGGAGGAAAGACAACATTCGGCGATTTTGGTGTTCAGACACTGAAAGTCGGACCCAACGACGACGTGGAAGTAAGTTTCTTATGTCTCCCATAAGGGAAATTTTCTAATTCCAATTAGTACGGAGATTGTGTTGGCCTCAGCAGGTGCCCGGAAAACATGTACTATCTGACGAAGCAGGAGGCGGAGACGGAAGGTAAAGTGTGGAGTACAGACTTCCCTGAAAAGTGGCGTGAGGGAGAAATAAGGAGTTTTGAGGTTTATAACAACTTCACGAACACTATGCCCTGGTTCCTTCCCGGGACTAAGCCCGAGATTTCGAAAAAGGAGCACGATGCGGCTGAAAATATCTGGCGCCTATTCGAATACGCGCTGAAATATGCCGATTTTGCCACGAATGGAGAGCTTCCCAAGACCGACGATCAAGTGAAAACAGGCCAGTGGTATCAAAGCTTGGAATCCATACATAATAATGTGCATTTGTTTGTCGGCGGGGACAACAATGGACATATGACACAAGTCCCTGTTGCTTCTTTTGATCCGTTTTTCTGGCTTCACCACGCGTAAGATTATATGCTTAATGATCGTTTTCACGTTTTTTCCACTGATAGATTATGGTATAGGAATGTCGAACGATTTTATTCGATATGGCAGTATATCCATGAGGATGAGTGGTTCGGAGATACCACAGAAATACTGAAAGATGCACTTGGAAATATGTTAAACGCACAGGGAGAAGTCGTTTCCTCGGAGAAGGACGCAGCACGGATCACTGTTGGACCAACCACTCCACTTGCGCCTTTCCGGAGCAGCCAGGGTAAATTTTATACCTCTGACGATGTCCGTAACCATACCGTATTCAACTACACCTATCCGGAGCTGCAGAGATGGAACTATGGCAGTAAGAAGGAACACATCGACGCAATCCACGTGCTGCTAGACCAGAAATATGCCAGCCATAAGGCTGATACCCTCAAAAAAAAGGGAGTAGGTGAGGTCGAAGCACTTGAAGTTGTTGTCAATGTCAGCTTCTACAAGTATGTCTCCCATGTTTTGAAAGACCCTGCCGCTGTCCAGTGCTGAAAAGATCTAGATTTCTCTTCTCCGGCATGCCTTTCAACGTGAAGATATATCTTCAATATGGTGAAAAGAAGGACCCTGCAAAGGATTGTATTGGAAATGTCTATAACTTCAGCGCCCCTTCTAGTTCCGACGGGAAAGAAGTCTGCTCAAACTGCACGATCCTCGAGATGACCAGAGCCACGTGCAACGCACAGGTGGTTATCAGCCACATGTTGAAATTCTTCCCCCTCTATCCAGGTGATGAAAATATTGACATCGAGAACGCGAACCAGGTAGAACAGTTCTTGAAAAAGCGCCTCTATGTTCAGATAGTTTCGGTGTGTAGTCCACTGTCTCTTTCGACAATGGTGTATACATGGCTAATCCAAGCTACTAGGCCACCGGCCGGGAAATTGTCCCGCCCAACACGGAAAATGATAAGCCCGCCGTCACTGTGGCTGTTGCACATACTGTAGCCAAATACTCGACTGATGCGACAAAAACAGTGTTCGGAGCATTCCAGAATTTCATCTCTCTAGCAGGGGATGTCGCTGAGCTTTTGGTCGTCGGTACGGGGGCGCTGGTCTTAACTGGAACTGGTGCCATTCTCGGCACAGTCAATGCCACAGGAGATGTGATTCTAGGCGACGGTGCCACAAAGAGCCTGAGGGAAGTATCTGGGATTACTAACAGCGGAGCACGAGACCTTGTCAACCTTGCAGGGGACCTTACGGATACTGCTACTGGCGTATTGGGTGGTACGCTCGGCCGCCTTGGTGGTAGCGGCAGGAGAGGCGATGGAAGTGGAGGAAGCGGTGGATTCGGACTCTTTTAATATGGCAGATCGCAGCATACCCAGAGTTCTGTAATGGCTTGATGCTTCGTGAAATGAATTCTAACAGCCCTACGCCCAAAAAAGGAAAAAAACAGAAAAAAACAGAAAATCGGACAGGCAGAAGAAACTGCCAAGGTCAATGTGCGAAACCGCTGTCTATTTCACTATCATTACTCTTTTTGAATTACTCTCCCTCTCGGGCAGTTACTCCCTCTTTGCACACTCATTTACATCCTGAGTCATTTATAATGTTGCGTATGACTTCTCGGATAGCTAAGTATGGCTCAAAAACGGGCCATATACGCTAGTATTTATGAGGACTACCAAGAATGATCAACTTTATGATTCCATGCTATTTTGCCTAATATATCTTGTGAAGCATATATGAAGAAATAGGTACGGCTTGAAAACAGTAATAGGTCACCATCATGGATGATAGACCTACTGCGTTGTGCCGGGAACATCACACAGAATAGCTCATTTGTCAAACGAAGAAGTTATTAATTTCCTTGCCTATATACGTTGGAAAACCAAATGATAGTGACACCAATATCCATCCCTAGACCACATTTATTCATATGATACTCGCCATTAGTTATATATTTGAACACATATTGGAATGTCTATGGAATGCGAGACAAGGATGGAGAGTAAAAGTAACCGCAGTCATATTTGATTTAGAAAATAAAAAAAAAAAGAAAGGAATGTACAGCAAATTGATCTATATCTATCTGTACATGCAACATGCAACTAATATAATCAGCAGAATAATCAAAAAGGATCAGAAGCCCCCTTATACATCACTATCAATTAAATGCCCAAACCAGAATGTTCTATTCGGCCGCATGACTAATGTAGCGATTTATGACTTACCTACATACACCCTTTATCCTTCTCTTTGACGCAGAGCTGTGGGGAGAACATGTAATTTTCAATTCAATGACTAGCCATGAGTTGAATTGGCGAACCGACTCCTCTTTCGTATCCGCTTGCCGTAACGGAAAAATATGTATCTGTTATTAGAAGGCAAGAGGGGTTAGCTGGAAACCATTCTCTCATATTTGATGGTAACTTATTTCTGACGTGAGGGCAATCCACAGAAGTAGAACGGAACAAGTTGGATGGTGGGAATATGAGATAACCTCATAATTGGCTCTTTTGTCCTTCATTTCTTTCCAAGTGAAGTATTCAAGTCTCACGCCATCCACAAACTGCAGAGGACTGCGGGCGATGGAATGGATCCAATCTTCAACAGTTACAAGTGGCGTTGTGCATAGCCAGGGTGAGATATTGGCAGAAAATAACCCATAAGGAATATATCGAGGGGTAAGGAAAATTCATGAAAGAGGAAAGGAGAAGATAATTGTAACAATGTACTATTTTACTCACGGGAAAGGAGCCATTGCGACAGTCAGGAAAGCTAGGAGTGTGGATGCCCAGTTGAATCCTAGTCGATTGTACACTGCATGGCACATTAGCTATATAACTCGGGAACATGGATATTTCCTGAACGCTCTCGAGTGGTAAGAGACGCAAGAAACGGCGAAGAGGGTGTCGCGTAATGGGAAAGAAGACATACTCTGGATTCCAAATAACGGGAAAGCAGCACCAAAACTTGACCGGAGGAAGCTATTCGCTGCTAGAGCACTAGCAGCGTATAAAGGATAGGCATCAACTAGAAAGGTGAAGATGCCAGAGTAGACAAGAATGGTTCTGTGGCTCATGGTTTTGGGATACGTAGCCCATAATAGTTAGCTATAAATCCAGTACCAATACATGTTAAAATAGAGTGAGGAAAGGAACTCACCCCAGACCGAATACGGCGCTGCCAATTATAGGTGCGATCCAGTGAACGTCTCGGAATATTGTCCAGGCAAAAATGAAAATGCCAATAGACACTATCGGGGCACCAGCAATTGCTAACAAAGTTCTGTTAATGTCTCGTATGATTACAATTACCAGCATAAAAAGGTGGACCTTACCTGGGGGCAGCCTCCACTCGGGCTCATATTGATCCAACTTGCCAACTTTCGCCTCACGCTTCTGAACTAGTCGAGCGTAATTTTTTCTCCAGAATGGGTCACTCATGATGGCGAAAATCATTCCAACGAAAAGACCAATAAAGCTTAAGCCGATTTGTGAAAGTGTAAACCCATAAAGTGTCGAAAACACCAGATGAAAAGCTCCGAAGAAGAGATAAAGAATACCTAACAGGATTGCCGAAAAAATACAAAGACTCAAGCACATGGGCTCCATCGTTAACAGCAGCATCGGCCTATATATAGATCGAAGGACAATCTGGCCCACGGACCGGTCTAACGTTTCAATCGGAGCTTTCCAGCGTTTATCGCCTGTTTCCCGCCTGATCTTGATAGCCTTGCGCCGGAATAGCCTTTTCAAAATTAGTAATTGTGCGGAAATCGCGCAAAATATCTTGGGATTTCATGACGTACACTGGGTGGTAAGTCTCAGGGACGAGCAGGGCAATGGCGATTAAAATAGACGCTGCCCATATCAACAGCATGTAAAATGCCCAGCGCCTGCATAAAAGGTCAGATTCCATATATGTCAGAACAAGTAGGGCACATTACATACCATGAGGTATACTGACATATAAAACCGCCCAATCTAAAAAGCTCATTAACACTGTACTCATTAAAACAGTGCACGGGAGGGATTTCCTACAGAGGGCCGAGTTCTGGTCCAATGAATGGGCTCGCAGTGTAGATCATCATCGGCGCTGCAAGTTCATGCCGAGCAAACATATCTCCAACAGTGCCACCTGCGACGCTCAGGAAAGCACTGCCTGAAATTCCTGTGAAGAACCTTGCCACAAGCATAGTCTCGATATTCTGGGCTACAGCGCACGGTACAAGCCATATTAAAAAGAATGTAAACGAAGTGACGTATATTATCCTTCGGCCATAAAACTAGAAGACATCACATTATGCTCAGCTTTCTTTCTTGTGTGTACCAGCATGTACAGTACATGTACTAGAAGAAGTACTTACCTCTGATAATGGCGCCAAAACCAGTGGCCCAACTCCCAATCCGAAGATGAAAAGGGACAATCCCAGTGTCGCAACGATCCGAGAGCAATTGAATTCTTCCATTATCTGCGCATACGTCATGGTGTAGAGTGACGAGGTACATGTACTAACCAGCAAAAGCTCAAGATTAGCCTCTCAAGACCCGGGGAAGCAACATCGCGAGGCCTGGAAAATGTTCACTGATACATACACACAGACAGACCCAACAGCCAAAACTAGGACAACGACCCATTTCCTCCCTAATCTCATGTTCCGCGGGTTGGAAGGGTCGGTGGGTCCATCCCACTTCACAATATACTCCATTCCAGGAGCAGCCGACACTTCCTCCGCCTTCTCATCCTCCTCGGGTTCGTGAAGCCGATCATTGTCAACGGCAGGATGGGTATATCCGTCAGAAAGGGAATACACTCGACGTAGTGAGTGGGAGCTCTGTGAAGTCGCTTGGCTTATTGATCTAGAGTAATTATCCAATTTAGGCCGGCAAATTGGTTCAAAATGTGACTCGCCCCGGCTACGGACCTGATCCCGATTCTCATCCTGATCGCTTGATTGACTGCTCTCCTCCGTCCTACTCGATGGCTCTCCATAGGTCTCTTGCATCTCTTCAAGTTAGAGCTCAATTGCCCTACACGACAAGAGATTCTGGGGGCAATCGAATGTCCGCCGGGATTAGTACAGCTTCAGATCACGTCTCATCAGGAGTGAGAATGAGACATTGAACTTTACCGGAGAAAAAAAGCAGCATCCGTCTAATTATTCATGCCCCGAAGAGCATATGCCCTTGTAAATTTTCGCCAATAATAAATGTTGGAGGCAGCTGATGCTCGTTCTTCTATGGTGGGCCGCTAGGTGGGGATACCACAAGCTAATCTCAGTAAGCAGCCAAACGGGTTGGATTAGTTAAAAATGGCAAAGGGGGGAATTGGTGAGCAAGAATTATCTTAGTGAATCATGAGGAATGCTTATAGAAACGAATGAGGGTGTAAATCGCGGCATTCATACAATTATATCATATCTAAGAGCCATCCCTCGAGGCAACTGGGCCGTCTAATAACGTCGTTGGAAGTTGTCGCAAAGTTCGACGTCTGCCGTCATGACTTACCGAGAGGAAACAAGACCCAAATAGCGGCCAAATGACCTCATCGACTAGAACTTGATAGTGCTACAGGGCAGTATTCATATCATTAATCCATCGGGGTTCGTCACACTTCTCTGTTTACACTCCAGCACATATAATTATCCATTCTTATAGGTATCCAAAATAATGTTGACTTCGGCCCGGTCCTCGACTCGGTTCGGCCATTGATCAATGATCATTGACCGTCCGGTGTCTGGCCCCAGCCAGCTGCGTTTTAGGGCTAACCACCCACGTGGGATTAGTTAACTTAGTCATCAAATAAGCTTAACTATCTCGACTCCACCTTTTGCATCAACCCATAGCTTACTGGGATGGCAAAATTGCACGGCTTCAATTGTGGGCGCAGCTGCTACCTCTATGTGGCATCACATTCTTTACTGTTCAAGCGCCGAATTGATAGAATGTTTCATGACATGAGCCTTCAGGGATTCTTGGGGCCTCGGAAGCTCCTCTCCGCGCCAAACTATCCTTGTGTCCTCTGGCTCCTGCGAGAGGCATCTAATAACTAAATGCTACAACTAAGACTGAACAATTTGAGCAACAACTCTTCGATTTTCTCACCTGAGCGTGTACACTTGAATACTGCTTCAAGTTTCTATACTCTGCAACCCAGAAATTCCTCTCATAAGACCCAATCAAATAAAGACTAAGGTTACACAAAATATTGAAATCCCACATTTGCCGACTTCTAACTAGTGGTATAAAAGACCAAACAAGCACTGTCGCAGTGACAGTATTCCGTGATAGCCCGGTTAAATATCGAATCTCGATAGGTGTGGGAATGAAAAATCATTCGCTATAAGCGATGCCTGGTTTTTCCGGAATAAGTACCAACGGCACTCAGGCGAATCACTTGAATCTCATTTGCGAGCAAAAAGTTCAGCAAACGAGCATTTCATACTCATTAAATATATCAAGGCACGCTTTCGCAGAAATGGCAGAGAGCAAAAATCAAAAATATCCAGTATAGATATCGCGCTTACTTTTCCAGAAACTCTGTTAACAAGTTCCCCGCGCCTGGTTTTCTATACACGAAACTACGATCTTCCGGCGGCGATTCATCTCGTCTCTCTTCCTCTCGCTGCTCGGCGGCATGCTTCTGGTCCGCCAACCCGGAGAACTTCTGTTGGTGTTTTGTATCATGATATACGTGCGTCGACGAGTCATGAGAAGCTGGGTCGGTTGAGCTATCGGTGGAACTTCCGTCGCTGCCTTCTGAGATCCTTCGAGAAGTGGACATATTTTTTTGTCGTATCACTTGACCCCCTCTTCTGTACCAGGATGACAGAAATTAATGTGCCGTTTTGAATGCGTGCTTTGGCAATATCTAAGCTAACATGGAACGAATCCACTTACTGTCAGTGATGTAAACGGTTGATACATGCCCAAATACTTTATATAGAAAGGGATAATAATATCCGAAACATACATAGTTCCTGCCAAATTGGAGGCTTACCACACGTTGTAACGTAAATAAGCTCGATGATATCATCTCTAACCCCGCGGATCGCCACCGGGTGAGCCAAAGCCAAACATCTACGTCAACCAATCAAGAAAAATTAAATTAAAAATAATCAGTAAATGCAAAATAACCTCTAATTATTTGTTTATATCCAGTTGACCTGAATATAAAACGCCCAACCCCCCTTAACCACACCTACAGAAACAGAAGGACATGCGAGATTCTGTTTTCAATTCCTTTTATCTTCTAAATTGGGTCCAGGAGTTTTCGCCTCCCAGGCAAGATTGCGTTCCATCTCAATCCATTGTTATAAACGACCTCCTTCTCCCCATTTAGTAAATGGAATATATACACATATTTAGCAGAGAAATACGAACTTGGAAACTCGACGTGAGAAATTTACTCCGTTGCCATCCAACCCTTCGACACTCAACCCCAGAGGGGAAGCTTTTACGATAAATGCAGGGAAAGGCGAAGATTCATGAACTGTAAAAGTATACTTGTGATTGATATTGGTTCGAATACGGCGACTGTACTAATGATCAAATCTAAACTAACCGCCAGGCGCCGCTGCGCTGCAATGTTTGTCTATTACGACAAGAACTCGCAACGCCCCTGTTTCTCCCGGACGAAACCCGCTTGTTTCAGAAAAATTGGTGAAAAAAGAAATCCAAGCTTTATTATATATACCAAGAAAACCCAACTGTCAACGCCATTTCATTGCGCCCCTTTCCTGTGACAAAAATTGGTAACGAAGCCGCAGTGGGACATCCAGAGAAAAGAAAGACAACAAAGAAGCAAAAAAGAAGGCTAACCCAGCCTCAAGTCAACTTTCGCACGAGCAGAAGCAATCATACATGATGTAACACCACAAACTGTACACAACCGTTATTTCTCAACCTTTGGTACAGTAAAACATAGAACTAAGTAACGATCAGCAACAGTCCGTCCCGGAGTCCGAAGCCAAGATTTTTTCAGGTCAAAAAAGAAAGAGACAAGAAAATGACATTTAAAATTGAAGGGAGAGAAAGTGACCAAGGAAGGCGGACAGAACTCGCCAAAGTATTTTGTATCTTGGTAGGAACATTCAAGAACCCATCCAAAAGCTGATATTAGGGCAACAATCCAGAGGATAATCAAAAGCCTTTTGAATGGACATAAAAAATCAAACTGTAACCTCCGGTGTCTGGGTGGCTATTTCGCCACCCGCTTCAGTTTCTGCCCACGATCCCCATAGACCCTGCTTGGCACGAATCTTTAGACGACCACCAATCGTACCGGGACTCTGCTCAACCTTAACAGCGTCTTTCGTAGCTAACACAAGAACCTCGAAAAACATCTTGGTCGCATCACTCTTGCTCGTGATCTTTTCGGGAAGTAGATCTTGGAAAACAACGCTATTTTTCTTCGACTGCGCCGCGCCCTCGGATGGTGGCTCGCCACCAAATCGATCACGCAACAGGTGAACAGCGTGCTGTGTGCCGAGGGAGATTGGCCCGCTCTCTGCGGGATGAACAACACTACTTGAGTCGTTAAAGCCGTCCGCTTGATAAACGGCAGCTTCGTCATCGGACAAGTCATGTGGTCGTTCCTCGTCACCAGCAAGGTGGATTTCGGATTGCTGGTTCAAGGTGGTATCTCCGCCAATTTCAACGCCTTCGTCCGCATGTAGGAGACCGTCTTCCTCGCTAAGGTCAAGTCGCGGAATTTTGTCAGCACCATCAACATCCATATCGGCAATGCCGCTGTCCCGTTTTCGCTTAAGTTCGCTCGCCTGGCGCACAGCATCGATTGACAGCATCTCACGCAATTCTGGCGCCCAGTTTTGGTTGTTGCCACCCATAACGCTTGACACGAAATCCCCGTTCTTTTGCATATTCATCAGAGTCAGCAAAAGAGGGTCACGTGGCAAAATTGAGGCCGGTTTCAAGATACTCGATCGGTCAGCTTGTTGCTCCTTGATTTGATGGCTGGAGATCACAGTATCTACGTCTGGTTGGATGATTTTTCTTCTCTTGACTCTTTGGGGTTGGCGGATAGTTTCATTCTCATTCATAAAAGAGTCATCAAACTCTCGCACGACACTAGACCGCACAGAGGAGAGCGGAGATTGGGAATCCCTAAGAAATTCACTGGGTTCTTCGGCAGGTACCACCGTTGTGTCTTCTTCGGCAACCGGGACCCCCAGTTCTTCTTCAATGCCACCCATTAACACATCATCATCTCGCTGCAAGAAGTTATCCACATTGTCATGGGCATCTTCTTCAGTGCCTGGCTTGCCAAACTGGATTCCGGCATCACTGTGATGGAGCTCTAAATCATCGTCGAATGGCCTATGGTCGTCGCTGAAAAGGTCATCGCCAGCCGATCGTGGAGCGGGTGCATCTCGTCCCACTTCAATGCTCATGTCGTGGCCCAAAGGCATGTCGTCCTCGCCTAAATCAAGAACGAGACCGGTATCATCTTCCAAGTGGGGTCTCTCGATGGGTGTCGCGAATCGTTGAGTAGGGGTGCTGTCTGGAAGAAGTTGACTCGACCAACCGAGTGACGATGCAGGCCGTTTCCCTTCAGTCCCTATTTGAGGCTGTGAGAACAAAACAGATGTATCCAAGTTCATAAACAGATCAGACTCTGTAAGCACATCTGGTAGTGTAATTCCACCCGCAGGAAGGGTGACAGAGCTGGGGAGATCATTATTGTTGGTCAATCGAAAAGCCTAAATATGGTATTAGCAAAGCAAATTATTTTCCGGCAGTCTATGAACCGTCATACGAACCATTTTAATTTTCATTAAAGCTTCATTGCAGTCGTCGAGAAGGTACCTAGTTTTCCGGCTGTAAATACGGACAACACCCAACAACAACTGACCACTCAACCGCAGCGCCATGGGTGCTTGGCCTTGATCGACAATCGCGCTGACACTGCTTTCGATATCAGATTGCAAAATGTGAGATTTTGTCAGTTTGCGTTCGAGGTTCGCGGACAGCCAGACTCGAGCCAGCGGCCCGGTCTTCGATAATAGTGTTTCCGAGTAAAACATGTTGAAGGTATGGGATCAACAATGCCGTGTACTATTAGGAAAGATGTATTCTTAAGGTGATTCCAGACGCGAGAAAGAGAGTCAACAACGAGTGCGACCAGTACGTCGACCCGCAGTCATCGACGCGCTGGTGCTTTCTTTGGGGATCAAGGGCCCACGAATTGCGACCTCGCGCGACAGGTCCTTATGCTACAGGGCAACGGGAATCGACTAACGTATCTAAATTCAATCAAAGCGATGAGTGATGCACAGTTCGACGCTTCTAACGCAGAGATAGAATGGGAATCGGTGGAATGATGAGTCGGCGATGGGGCGGCGGCGTGAAATAGGAGAGGGGTTGGGGGATCTGGGAAGCGCGTTTGTTTGAAATCCCAGAATTTTGTTCCCAAAAGAGAAGAATGCGGTGGCTGGAACATCACGTGAGTGAGCATCAGTCAGCAGCGGCTTGGCATGGACCAGACGCGGAAGTCAGAAGAAGGGCTAGGTCTAATTGAGTTTAGCCCCATAATCTCGAGAGCCGCGAGCCCAAGTGGCCAAGCCCTATCCGCGATATTATTTTTAAAGACAGCTTTCCATTAGCCAACGGAGATGAAGAAGAATTCCCTCTCAGCTCCCCGATTCTACTCTGGCAATTTCCCCAATTCCTCTTCGCTTACTACCCTCAATTCCATCCCGATCTGCAGCGCCCTGCTAATATTAGTATTGGCGTCCGGACTTTGAAACGTGCTTTGTTCGTCCACGGGTCCGCGCCGAGACTACCACATTCATCAGCAACATCCCGTCTTCTGACCAGCGGCCGCCAATATCAGAAGCGCACCCCATTGATATATGCCTTCTCTGCTCCCACCGTAACCCCGGCTTTTGCCAGCCCCGTAACTGTCCCGGGATGCCAGACTGGCGTACTGATTCCTCCGCATCCTGAGCTATGTCAGGATTTCCGGCCCCTCCTCCGCTCCCTCTCTACGCCGTCCCCAATTCCGCCCGACAGACTCCCTCTCCCTATCGAACGAGTACTGTCGTATCGTCTTCAACCACATCCACATACTCGAAGCTCAGTCCGCAGGAAGTAGCTGACCGTTTACAAACATCGCTCGTCCATGGCCTCTCCCCGGCCGATGCCCACGCGAGATTGCTGCGGGATGGCCCCAACGAACTCTCCTCCGAGGACCCGGAGCCTCTCTGGTTACGGTTTCTTAAGCAATTTAAGGAGCCTTTGATACTGTTGCTTTTGGCTTCTGCTGCGATTTCCTTCTTCATGAGCAATTATGACGATGCAATTAGTATTGCGCTTGCGGTTACAATTGTCGTCAGTGTTGGGTTTGTGCAGGAGTACAGATCGGAGAAGTCGTTAGAGGCACTAAATAGGATGGTGCCGCATTATGCTCATTTGATTCGCAATGTACCTCACTCTGGGTCACTCGGATATACTGCATCTCAAACTGCAAATGATGTGGAAGAGTTGGAGATGCAAGAGTTGGCAGCGAATGGGCCACATCCAGTGACGTCCTCCCCAAAGGCGTCTACAACAGTTCTGGCAGGCCAATTAGTTCCTGGGGATTTGGTTCTATTCTCAACTGGTGATCGAATCCCTGCTGACCTCCGCATCACCAGCTCTACCGGCCTTTCCATTGACGAATCTAACCTTACTGGAGAAAATGAACCTGTTATCAAATCTTCTGAATCACTGGGGAAATCTAATGGCGGGCTTCAGTCGCTAAAGGAAAATTCAGGGTCCAATTCCCCTTATTACGATTCTCCAGCTGCTGGAACCGTTGGGACCGATCTTCGATTAAATGAACAGCATAACATTGCTTTTATGGGCACATTGGTGCGGTCTGGCTATGGTCAAGGGATCGTTATAGCTACTGGACCTAATACCGAATTTGGGAGCATATCTGCCTCTCTTCGAGAAATCGAAAGCCCACGAACGCCGCTTCAACTGTCAATGGACCGCCTGGGC